AGGATGAGGAGGAGGAGGAGGAAGAAGAAGAGGAGGAGGAGGAGGAGGAGGAGGAGGAGGAGCAGGACGGGGGAGGGATGTGATCTGTTTTGGATTGCCAAGCTGTTGCAGCCGATGGCCTGTCAGCAGAGTGGAAGGAGGGGGGAGGGAGGGAGGGAGTGAGGGAGGGAAGGGAAGGAAAGGAGGGAAGGAGGGAGAGATAGTGAGGAATGAGTCCAAGCTTCGAGACTCAAGGGTTGGCTGCGTCCTGGGGGCCGCAGCTCACAGAAAGAGGAAAAGGAGAAGGGCACCAACGACCACCTGACAGGATGAGTAACGGCATCGTGCTATCATCGGGAACCCTGAATAAGGAACGAAGGAACATTTGGGGATGGACAAAATCCCCTTAGCAAAACGTGGTTTAGTGAAAACGACCTCGGGCCCAGACCTAGCGGGCGCAAGCCTGGAAAATGACAGCCGCGGCGCACTCTCGAGAACCGAAAACGGACAATTCACTAATCCACGTGTCAGGGTGGGGGTTCTGTCCAGCCCCGAGGCACTTATGGCCACGGCGAACCTCGGCCACGAATAGGTTCCACGACCCAGGTAGAAGGAACGGCCCCCAAAAACCAGAGCCCCTCCTGAGCCCAGAGTGCTTCTTATTCCAGCGTCTTGACTGTAAGAGGGACGAGGGAGGGTGGGAACAAGGCGACGCCAGGACGAGGATAAAATCGGGGGAGGATGAATCGAGAATCTCTGAGGTCGGGCGGCTCTGGAGGGTGTCTCGGGCGCCGCGGCCTTCTCGGAACCTTCCGGAAGTCTCTGAGAGCCTTCCGGCACGCTGCTCTGGAACGGACTCCTCCTCGTCCTACGCAGGACCGCCCCACGGAGCGAGTCGGGGAGCGGCGGCAGGCGCGGAGGGGGAGGACTGGGAGGGGGGGGGGTTCGGCTCGGTTCGGCCATCCTCGAAAGGGGAGTCATGCCCCCTCAGCCGGGGGAGTGCGCCTCTAAAAAGCGGCACAGTCAAAGGGAGGGGGGAGAGGGCAGAGGAGAAGCTGGAGCGGGAGGACGGGCGGAGGGCGCAGGGAGGCGCGCGCGCGCGACATTTCTGGCGGGGGCGAGAGAGGGGGGGGGGAGCAGGGCGGGAGAGGGACGGGAGGAGGGGGCGGGGGCGGGAGGGGTGCGGGGAGGGGCGGGGCGGGAGAGGGCGGGGGCGGCAGGAGGGGGAGGGGCGGGATGGGGGCGGAAAGGTGCCGATGCCGCTGCCCTCCGGGCCCCTCCCGGGGCGCGCTCTGGCCAGGACTCCGAGGCGAATCCGGCCGTGGCGGCGAGGAGTCGGCAGCGGTACCGGTAGCTCGTCCTCCCCTGAAGGGAGAGGGGGGGGCGGGTGGACGCGGGGGGGGGCGGTCCTGTCGGCCACGCTGCAGCTGAGAGCCCATCAGCGTGCCACTGTCGACAAAAGCACCTGGCCTTCAGCCAGGAGGGAAGGAGCAGCACGCTGACGGGCTCCTAACGGCGGCGTTGTCATTGGTACTCTTTTCACCTCCCGAAGCCTGAGGGGACAAAAAAAGGTACCGATGCCACTACTCCCCGGACCTTCTCCCGAGGCGCGTTCTGACCAGGATTTCGAGGAGAGTGCGGCCGTGGCGACGAGGGAAGGGTAGCGGTATGGATACCTGTTCCTACACAGAGCTCGAGTTAGGGCTCGACCACCAAGTGAATCTACCCCATTGGGATAAATCAATTCTGTTGTCGATCCACTACTCGAAGAGTAACAGGGGGGAGGCGGGCGCGCCCAATTTAAGGAGGGAGAGGGGCAGTCCCGACGGCCCAGTCCGAGCTCTGGCCCGAACATGCCGCTCTGGCGCAGGGCGCCCATCGCCTCCCTGTCACGGACGAAGCGCGGGAAAGCCAGAAGCTGGCACGCCGGCCGGGTCTCGCGCTCAGGGCCACCTCCTCCTCCTCCTCCTCCTCCGCCTCCTCCTCCTCCTCCTCCTCCTCCCTGCCTCCGACCTCCCCCTCACCCTAACCCCTCACCCCTTTCCCCCTCCCCCTCCCCCTCCCCCTCCCCCTCCCCTCGAACCCCTCCCCCTCCTCCTCCCCCCGCCCCCACCCCCTCCCCCTCCTCCTCTCCTCCTCCACCACCTCACTCCTCCTCCTCCCCTCCTCCTCCTCCTCCTCCCCCTCCTCCTCCTCCTCCTCCTCCTCCTCCTCTTGACTCTTCACTCCCTCTGTTGCACCCACATGCTCCCTCATGCCTCTCCTTCGTCCTCGTCCCTCCCGTCTCCTCCTTACCCCCGTCCCTGCCAGCTCCCCTTCTGGCCCCGTCCCCCACCCAGGAGTCCGGCAAGGCTGCCAGTTTCGGCTCGCCGTGAAGTAGGAGACGCCAATGGTGTCGCGAGTGGGCCTGAAGATCAGCGCGGCACCATAGCCTGGCAGTGGGTAGGGGACGACGGGGAAGTGAACCACCTAAGAACGAGACAAAACTGCATAAACGAAAACTTTTGGGGGTCAGCGCGGATTTCTTGAGTCGGCGCTGGACCCCTTCCCTGGCGCGCAAAACGCGCCAGGGGGTCCAGCGCCGATCCAAGAAACCCATGAGGGCCTGCCAGAGTGTTCGTTTATGCTGCTGATTCCAATTCGACCACCTGCGAGCAGCCCCCAGGAAGCTCCACGTCCTGGTAGAGGGTGGCCCAGTTGGCCACGACTCCGCCCCTGATTGGCATGCCCAAGATGGGGACGGACCAAAGTGAGACGAATGGCGGCCGCTGTTGGGCAGGCGGCTTTGCCCCAGATGGACAACCCCAGACATCCGGCGCCCCGCTAAGTAACCCCGGGACCTCTCGACGCCTTCCCCAAGGCCCGCGCTCCCATCCAGCGCTGCTCTCCCCCGAACAGCGCCTCTGCCAAGGCTCTGCCACTCGCGCTGCTCCCGAGGCCCGGTGCGGGAGCCCAGCCCCCCCATCTGAAGGGGCCTTGGGACACACAAATAAATGAACACAAATAACAAGATTCCCCATATTTTCCTGTAGTTTCTGGGTTTTCGTCTTCCCCCCCACTTCCCATATTTTCCCATATTTTCTGTGGAAGCGACGATTAATTGTGTCTGTGTTTTTGTCCCCTCCTCACCATCATCGGTGGCCCGTCGTGGCTCCCCTCGTGGCGCCCTCGCGCCCCCCCCCCCGTGGCCCGCACCGTGCCCCCCCGAGGAGGATGATGAGGAGGAGGTAGGAGTATGAGTAGGAGTAGGAGGAGACGGGGGAGGAGGAGGAGGAAGAGGAGGTGGTGAGGAAGAGGAGGAGGAGGAGGGAGGAAGGGGAGGAGTGGCGGAAACAGGAGGAGATCGTGCCTCCCCTCGTGGGCCCCCCTCCGCGCGACTGTGCCGAGCCGTCGTGGGCCTGCTGCCGCAAAGGGAGCCGCCCCGACGGCCCCCTGGAACCCCGCAGCCACAAGTGGCGACAGGCCGGCCGCCTCGATCTGCTCGAGGCACGGGATGCCTGTGGCCGGCAGCGCGTCCTGCTCCAACCAGGCAGGAGCTGCCGCTAATCGTCGTCCCCACTCTTTCCACCCCCCCTTCGATGGCGCCGGCCTGACGCTCAGGGAGCGCAGCGCGTCGGGGACGCGCGCCCCCGCGGCACAGAAGCGCGGGGGCGACGAGATCGCCCTGCGGATGAGCCCCGGCGCGCGGAACTCGCTGGGCCAGAAGTGGACCCTGTGGACGCACGGCACGGCCTGGGGCTGCGCGTGCGACAGACCCGAAAGATTGCCCTGGGGCACTTCGGGCGGCGTCGGCCCCCAGCGCAGCCTCCCGGCGTGGCCAGTCTGCCGCCCTGGGGCGGTCAAAGACGACTCGGGACGAGAAGTCGGCCCTGGGAAGGGGTAGAGAGCGCGGCAGAGAGATTCGGGCATCGAACAAATCGAAGCGCGGGGTCTCTGGGTCTGGCGGCGCCCCCTGGCGGGCTCCGTGCCTCACTCGGGGGCGGCCAAGAGGGGGGCGTCCAAGAGGGGGGGGTGCAAATCACGGCCGGCGGCATGTGCGCTGCCCTTGGGGGGGGGGCCAGGGACGTAATGAGATAAGAAGAGGCGCCCTGAAATCTGGGGAGATATCATGGCCCCCGCCATGATATCCACCCCCCCCTGGTCATCACCCCCCTCTTTGCCGCCCCCGACTCACGGTTAGGGCGTCGAGGCGACCAGGCCGGCCTCTGGGGCCCCTGCTTCTGCCGGCCAGCTCTGCCCCGGGGGGGCTGTCTGTGCGCAACCCTGGGCCGTGCCGTGGACGTACGTCCCCGCGTGCTCCGCGCCCAGCCCGCAGAGGCCCCGGTTCCGGAGGTTGATCGACATGTACCGGCGGCGAGCGACGGGGGGGAAGGAAGCGACGATCAAAAACGGGTCTCACGCGAGATGGCACAGAGAGCTTACGCGGTGGCTTACGCGGGCCGCCAGCGCGGCACGCTTCGCTGGAAGAGAGGGTGCTTACGCGCGACCTTACGCGAGCGGCTTACGCGCCAGTGTCGTTGAGGACGACCCTACTTTCCTCCGTCGCTCAAGTGAGAAAGAGAAGGCGCGTCGTCGGGGAAGGCTTAGAGAACTTCTCAGAAGGCCGGGGGTCTTCTGAATCTTCTGAGAAGGCCCGCCCCCTCTCTCAGTTCCCCCCCGGGGCTCGCCGCCGAATGTACCCGAACTCGAAGCGGCCAGTGTTGAGGATGCCAGACGTCAGCACGTCGTTCGTGGAGACGAAGCCTGCCTCCCCGCCCAGGCCCGCGAGGTGGTCCGCCTTTCGGTCTTCGACCAGAATGGGTACGGCAAGAATGGGCACACAAAGGCCGTCGTTGGAGCACCATGTGGGACCTGCTCTAGAAGAGCAACATATCGTAGATGGATAGACCCTTTCTCCGACCTGGTACTGCGCCGAACGCAACGGCCGCGTTGTCCATAGACGTGTCCACCCCGAATGAGTTTATAGACGTCACCGCACACGGAAGGCTAGAATCGTGAGAACGGTATTCGGCATTGGCCCCAGATACTCGTCCCCTAGAACCAGGGAACTAGACTTGGCCATCCAAGGCCGTCAGCAGCTCTGGCCCGTTTTGGGCAGGGCTCGCCGTCGATGTCACCGCGGGTGCCGTCCGCTGGAGACAGCTAATCTCGCGCGCCCCACGGCGGCCGCTGTCGGATTCTGGACAACGTCTGCCGCCTGGCACCGCGCCTACCTTCCCGTCCCCACTCTGAGCGTGCCGAGCCTTGCGCTGGCGGACCCACTCGGGGCACACGGAGCGCATGGCGGGCGCCTCCGGGCCCCACCTGCACAGCATGCACAGGGCCCCGACGACCGCGGGGAGGCGCGCGAGCCACGAGAAGTGCTGCTCGCCCACCGCCGCCGCCGCGGCGCTCACGAAGCCGGGCTCCCTGCGCACTGTCATCGGGAGCACCTGGGAGGACTCGCCGAGCATGCCGTAGATGCTGTAGAACGTGTGCCCGTCCCCGATGGCGTGGCACATGGCCACCACCACCACGAAGTGCGTCGCGCCCAGCGCCGCGAGCGTCACGCGGAAGAGCGGCTGGTCGCGGTCGATGCTCTCCAGGCCCGACTTCAGCGCAGCCGCCGACCGCACGATCTGTGCGGCCATCTCGCTGCACGGCATCGCGGCGTCGAGGCCGAAGGCGTCGCGCTGCTCGAAGAAGCAGTCGCCAGCAGAGTGGGGCGGCGGCACCCACAGGGCCGCCTGAGGCTCGCAGCCTCGGGCGCCCACGTTCGTCGCCAGCCGCCCCGCAAGCCAGGGGTTGGCTCTGACGACCTCGGCCACGCGCCGGCGCAGGTACTCCGACGGCGGGCCGGACGTGCCCTCGTCGATCCTGTACACAGTCGCGGTGCAAATGGCCGGCCGGCCTCTTGTGGGGGGTGAGGCCGGCCGAGGCCTGAGGCCCAGCGTGCCTCCAGGATCTGCGGCCCCGCCTGCCCACGCCTGCTCGAGGCGCGGGCCCTGGGTGCAGCCCCAGCCCTGGGCACTCCCCAAGCCTCAGGTCGGGCATGTCCTCCTGCAGGCGACTCTTGGAGGAAAAATGAGAAATAGTCGAAACATGCTCAAAAATATTCTAAAATGATCGAAAAATCGCCCCCTGACTATTCTTTGACTATGTTTGAATATTCTATTCCTCCTGTAGAGGGATATGCCCGACTTCACCCAAGCCCCAGCCTCACCCTCGAGAATCGGCCAGCCGAGGTCAAGAGAACCAAAGTACCACAGAGGCAAGAACCTCTGGGACGTCCGCGCGCGCCGGGGGGGAGTGCGCGGGATCGGGGAAGGGGCGCGGGCGGGGAGAAACCGCTGGCGGACGTCCAAGAGCGTCTGTCTGTGTCTAGAAAGTCCAGGGTTCGCTAGTGACTGGCTTCCTGTCAAAGTAGCCGACACCCTCCCGGAAGCTTCCGAAAGCACCTCCGGGAAGGGTTCTGGGAGGCTTTTCGGAGGGTTTCGGGCTGGTTTTGGAAGGGAGTTCGTCGCTGTGGGGAGAGGAACCAGTCGCTAGCGAACCCTGGGCTTGCTAAGTCCATGTCGCGCCTGGGTTCTCTAAGGCATGAGGGAAAGGGGTCCTCGTGGAAGCGGGTCCTGGGAGCTGGGGCGATCCCCGAAACTGGTCGTTCGTCCTAAGTAGTCATTGGAGGTGCCCGAGGGATTGTTAAGGGCTGCACGACTTCTACCGTCCCTCGACTCGCGCTGGATCGGCCACGATTTGCTCAAAATTTCCCTGGACATCTCTAGAATCGCTTGCATTTGCCACGATGTACCTGGAATTACCTCGATTTATCTGCATTGGCCTGGATTTATCTGGCTCGATCCCCACACGTCGATTGGCGAAAAGTCGTCAAGCCCTCAGGGAGAGGAAGGCGACAAAAACACCAGGACCCGTTCTCTTCAGGACCCTTTTTCTTCCGCCTGAAATGGATGGAATGGTGAGCATGGCGCCAGTCTCCAGGATCGGAAGCAGTTCGACGGGAGTCCAGCCCTTGCCCAGGAGCTCGGACTCAAGGGAGCCGCAGCAGGGACGACGCGCGCGCTTGCGGAGCCTTCGGGGAGACTTGGAAGAACCCCCATTCAACAAAACGCAACCAAAAAAACTTGAGCCTCGAATTTCGAATCTCCAACTTCAAGTTCGAAGGAAGACAACGCACGTGCTCCTGGATGTTTCGGAAGGTCCCAGAAATCTCTGGAGGTTCTAAAAGCCTCTGTCACGAATTCTTACGCAAGGGCACGAGGCGGCCTTTACGCGGTGGCTTACGCAAGCCGCCAGCGCGGTCACGCGCGACCTTACGCGAGCAGCTTACACGCGAATACCCGTGCAGTCGAGCCCGATGCTTGACGTCGCCCATGTGAGTGATAATGCCAAGCCGCTGGCATGGTCAGAGGTTCACCCTTCCCTGCCCTCCTCCTTCTCCTCGGTCATCCCAGCATCCCTCCCCCTCCTCCTCCTCCTCCTCCTCCTCCTCCTCCTCCACCTCCACCTCCACCTCCTCCTCCTCCTCCTCCTCCTCCTCCTCCTCCTCCTCCTCCTCCTCCTCCTCCTCCTCCTCCTCCTCCTCCTCCTCCTCCTCCTCTCAACTCCTCCTCTTTCTCATCCCCGCAAGATCTCCCCCAGCGACCAACGGGCCTCCACAGGCCCAAAACCGAGCAAACAGAACGTCCTGAAACCTCGACTCCCGATCCTGACGCCTCGACTCTCGATGCCGAAACCTCGCTCTGGAGGCCTCGGTCCTGGAAACCCCGACCCTCGATCCCCCTCCCCCGCCCCAGCACCGCCGCCTCAGGCACCCGGTGATGCAGCCGTCTGCACAGGTGCCCGAGGGCAGCCTGGCCATGGCTCCGGCGACGAGGCCCGGGGCCGCCCCGCCGCCCACGCACGGCGCGCGCGGCGCTGAGCAGAAGAGAGGACGGCACAGGGGAGGAGGAGGAGGAGGAGGAGGAGGGGAGGAGGAGGAGGAGGGAGGAGGAGGAGGAGAGAGGAGGAGGAGGAGGAGGAGGAGGAGGAGAGTGGAGGAGGAGGAGGAGGAGGAGGAGGAGGAGGAAAAGGAGGAGGAGGGGGAGGAGGAGGAGGAGAGGAAGGGGCCCAGATCTCCGACGTGTGCGTGCGCGTGCGTGGTCGGGGCCTACGGGGCCGCGAGGGCTGGCAGAAGAGCAGCTCGTCGGATGCCTCGTGGGGAGGAGAGGGCGCGGCGTTCGGAGTGATGCTCTGTGTGGGCCTCCTGGAGGCCTCCCAGGTTGGGAGGGAGAGGAGCAGAGGGAGAGCGGGTAGTAGGGAGGTAGAGGGAGGGATGGGGAGAGAAGATGGGGAGGAGAGGAGAAAGTAGAGAAAAGGAGAGGGGGCAAGGAGACAAACATCGGCAACGAGACAACGAGGCAAGGAGACATACAAAAAGGAGAGAAGGACAGGCTCGCAAGAGGGCCCCAAGAGGCCCCCAAGCGGCCCCCCTACACACGTCCTAGGAACCTGGAATGCTCCCACTCCTGTTCCCACGGCGCCCTGCGCCCGCACCCGAGACACGGTGGAGGGACGAGCCGAAGGCCGCTGGATCCGCCGCGGGCTCTCGAACTCCTCGCAGCAGCATCTGGCGTGCCGCACTCCGCAGTGGCCACTGGCCCCTTTCGGGCCCCTGCCCCCTGGCCCTGCGGCCCGCGCCGGCCGCGAAGCTCGACCTCGGCCGCAAAAGAAGGGGGGAGGAGGACGCAGGGCGCGCTTCCTCCCTCACTCCAGCACTGCCTGGCTGGCGTAAACTCCGTGCCCCAGAGGGCACGCATTCTGTCACAGTGCCTCTGCAGCCTTCTTCATTTTCCGCTGCGCCCGCCAGGCGTGATCTGTTGGCCCCATAGCCGAAGTCGGCACCGTCAGGCGAGTTTTTGCTTGCAGGCGATACAATCCCGAGGGTTCAAGCCAGCTCAACTAAGGATGGCCCAGGGACACACACAAAGGAACAGGCACACATCCCAGGACCCACCATACCTTTCCATGCTTTCTGGATGTTCGTCTGCCCCTCCAACTTCCCCTAGTTTCCATACTCTCCTGGGGATCGACGATTGTGTGTCTGTTCCTTGCGCGGCAGGAGACAAAACAAGGGGACGACGGCGACGACCAAGCCTACCCCCGAGGCCTCCGGAGGCATCCACAAGTCCAACGGGAGAAGGAGGCAAAGCAAAACAAAAGCGAAAGCTCAAAAATTAGAAGAGACGACGACGACGACGAAGACGACGACGACGACGACGACGACGACGACGACGACGACGACGACGACGACGACGACGGCGGCAGCAGCGGCGGCGGCGGCGGCGGCAACGGCGACGACGACGACGACACCGGCAACGACGACGACGGCGACGGCCGCGACGACGGCGGCGACGGCTGTGGCGGCGGCGGCGGCGACGGCGACAACGACGGCGGCATCGCCAGCCGCGCGGAGGCCGCGGGGCCGGGTCACCGTGCTGGCGAGGGACAGCACCATCCGCTGCGGCGGCGCCGGACCTCGCGGCCGAGGGAGGGAGGGAGGGAGGGAGCGAGGGAGGCAGGGAGGGAGGGAGGGGGGAGGAGGAGGAGGAGGAGGAGGAGAGGAGGAGGAGGAGGAGGAGAGGAGGAGGGTGGAGGAGGAGGGTGGAGGAGGAGGTGGAGGAGGAGAGTTGAGAGGAGGAGGAGGAGGAGGAGTTGAGGAGGAGAGGAGGAGGAGGAGGGAGGAGGACGAAGAAGAGGAGGAGGCAGGGGTGTGGTGGCACGGTCTAGGATCGAGGTTGCAGTAGCGTCGTTGATTCGCAGTGCTGGGGTCCCAGATGGCGTCCTGGCACGACTGAAAAGCGTCAGGACGCAACAACCAGGTGAATTCGCGGCGCTGACGTTCCCGAAATGCTCGCTCGAGGATTATCTAGCAGTTGAATGGGGCACTAGGGAGAGTTTATTACAACGTCGTTGATGCGTATTGGGTTTACGCTGGTCTTCCTCCTCCTCCCCTCCTTCCTCCCTCTCCCATCCTGCTAATCCCTCCTTCCTTCCCTCCATCCTCCTCCTCCTCCTCCTCCTCCTCCTCCTCCTGCTCCTGCTCCTGCTCCTGCTCCTGCTCCTGCTCCTACCCCCTCCTTGTCATGAGGCCCCCCCTATTTGCACAGCCTGTATCATAATCAACACAGCCACGCACTGCATGTGACAGAGCATCCCACTAGAATCCAAAGCATCTCCCGAACTTGTGGTAGTTACTTAGGGGGGGCCAGGATGCAAGGGCTGGGAGACCCCTGCCACCCAGCCAAAGTCTCCAACAGGGCGAATGCCAATTGGAGCCGCATCTTGAAAGAGGAGTTCCCAAACAAACGTCGGGGCAAAGCAGTCATATTAGGCGAGCTCCCCCCCTGTGACACACGGTTTGAACTCAAACAGGAGCTTTCAGAGGATCTGCCAGGGCAACAGGCCAGCCACCCTAGCCAGGGCTCTTCTCACCCCATCTACCCTGCCGCACGCACAGCGTGACGCCCGATGCCGGGGGTCCTCTTGTCACGGTGGTGCCCCCGCGCTGTGGCGCGGGGCGGTGATACACCAAGATGGGGGGGGTCCGCCGTTCACGTTTTCCCGCGCCGTTTCTCTCATTATCCTCTCCTCCTGCGCGAACTGTCGGCCAACTATCGGCCGATTTTGCCCGTATCCATCGGACACGAACTGTACGCTTCAACTCTGGTTTCTCGTCTGAAGCAGGCGGGCGCAGATAAACGCATCTTCGACACTCAGTTCAGTTTCCGCTCCGGCCGCGGGACAACGGACGCATTATGCTGTGGACGCAGAGAACGGACGTTCGATCTTGCTCGTGCTGGATTGGGAGAAAGTGTTCGACAGCGTGCTGCCTGACTCGCGGACAACCATGGGGACGGGGATGATCGAGGTTCAAAGGAAATAAGGAAGGGCAATGAGCTAGCGTCAGACATCCGAAACTGCCGATATGTCTCATGTTTGGACCTCCAGGAACAAAAGAACGAAGGGGGGGGCGCAAACAAGGTGCGCTCGCGCCACATCTGACATCCGATCCCTCCCTCCCATCCATTCCCATTGCGCTGTTTTTTCTATCCGAGGACGCGTGTCAAACCCGACCTGGAACTCCACTAAATAGACCCCATCGTGGTACGCGCAGTCGGAACGCACAATCGGAACGGGGGAGCTGCGCACATACGAAGAAGAAATGGCAGGCGAGCAGGAGGATTGGCAGGAGGGCAAAAAGGACGATATGGAACAACGAAGACTGGGAGGAACAGCAGCAGCAGGGACTGGAGCGGATGGAGCAGGAGGAGCAGCAGGACCAAGGGAATCTGGAAGATGGCAAAAGAGGGGAGCGACAACCATGAAAAGAATCCGATACCAGGAAAGTTGCCCAGGCTGGGGCGAGGGTGCCATTCTGAACAACGGGAGCAAAACGCCGATCCGAGAATGAGGCCGACGCCGCCAGAGGTTTTTGAAACACTGAAAACACTCGGGCTTTACAAAACCACGGGGAGGACCGCTTTTGCCTGAATCTGCACGACCACCACTACGCGGAGAGAGAGAGAGGGGGGGAGGGAGAGAGAGAGAGAGAGATAAAAAAAAAAAAAAAAAAAAAAAAAAAAAAAAAAAAAAAAAAAAAAAAAAAAAAAAAAAAAAAAAAAAAAAAAAAAAAAAAATCGGCGATCTTCTAGACGGGGTCAGGGGAGAGAGGAGAGTAGCTTTCAGAATGCGCAGCTGTAGAAGAGGGAAGAGAGGCGAGAGGATGAAGGGGAGGAAAAGACAAATGATCCGAGAGGCAGAGAATGAGGAGAGGGGAAAGACGAAGAGAGAGGGAGAGAGAGGAAGAGAGAGGAAGCGAGAGGAACAGAGAAGAAGAGAGAGGAAGAGGGAGGAGGACGGAGGAAGGAGGAGAGAGGTAGAGAGAGGACGAGAGAGGCACAGGAGGAGAAGGAAGAGGAGGAGGACTGAAAAGGAAGGGAGCAGTCCGTCGGAGCGAAGCTTGGCTGGGAGCCGGCGAACCAAACCGCCTGGGAGCAACCGCTGCTCGGTCTGGGCCCGAACGGCGGTCGCTCCCGGGGGGAGGGCCGCGCCGGCCGGGGCCTTCAGCAGCGCTGCCCAGGAGCGCCAAGGCGACCGCGAGAACGGGGTGGTGGCTGTCCAGCACGGGCTGTCCGCGGGAGGGCGCCAGCGCCCACCGCCTGCTGCCACCCAGCCCAGCCCGCAGCTCCAGCGCCGAGCGCCTGCGCCCTGCCCGGCAGGAAGAGGGCGCCGAGCCCGGCCAGCCGCCGCCCCCCAGGTGGCGCCCTGCGCCCGCCGGCGTGTGGGGCGCCCGGCGACCACCGCGCTGCGGGCGCTGCCAGTGCCCGCTGCGGCGGCCGGCGGCCGCCAGCCGCCTGGCCCCGGCTGCCCAGCGCAGGCCAGCCGCCGCGCGGAGCTGGCGCGCTGTGGCGGCCTGGAGGCCGCAGCTCAGGACCTCGCAGGTCCGCGCCAGCCCGCGCGGCTGCTGATCCCCGAGCAGCAGACGGACGCACCTGCCCGAGCAACCAGTCGCGGGCCTCGGCGCCGAGCCGCCCCCCCCCCCGCCTCGAGGACGAAGGGCGTCAGCCTGGCGCACCCCGCCGCGTGGCCACCCGCAGCTCGGCCGGGACCCCAGCCGCGGCATGGCGCACGGAAACGTCGAGTCAGCGCCGGCCATCGTCGTCCCCGCATCCCAAGCCAGGATCGCGCGTTCAAGGCGGCCGCACAGGTGGCGGCGGCCCCAGGTCGGCAAGCTCTGCTCAACGAAGGGCCTCTCGCCGCGCCAGCGCAGGACGAGGCCGCCGATATCCCCCTGTGGCGCTCCACCACGCCCCCGCCGAGCTGGCAAATGATGGCATGGTAGCCCTGCTCGTCCAGCGCACCGGCGCAGCCAGCTCCTTCGG